CTTTGCAGCATCTGGGCCTGTTTCACCCGCACGGTTGTTGGGTGCAAGGGCGCTTGAACGCTTTGCATTGAGCCTTGTTGTACTGCAGCGTTTGCTTTGGATGGGATCACGTGCTTCGAAGGCTGTAGTCGATGAACCTTACTTTGACCGCACGGCTGTGGACCGTCTGTGCAAGGAGGCGTACGCTGCAGGGGCGGGCGATGCATCGGCGCATTACCAGGCGGTGCTCGAGTCGCAGTGGCGCATGGACACGGCAGTGGGACTGGGCGGATGTGCCATAACGCTTCTCCTCTCGTGCATGTACTTTGGCGCAAGAATGGCGCAGAGCGACGCGCAGGCATCACGGCTGGTCGAAGCGGAGCGGTCACACGTGATGCGGATGCAACAGGAGAGCGATGCGCTGCAGACGCAACTGGGGAAACTGGAGAAAGATAACGCGCGGCTTTGGAGGGTTGTGTGCCGCTCTGCGGCGACGGTGCGACGAATGTCACGGCGTCAATCAAGATTGCTTCACAGCCTAATGCGGCTGCGGCACCGCAGCGTCTCATTGGCGAGCGAAGTGGAAAGTTTGAAGAACTTTCTTGCGCAGTTGAATCAGCGTGTGCTTGTCATGCAATGTGGTGGCAGCGTGGCGCTTGGCTGTCTTGCTGCTGTATGTATCTCCGCCTTTGTGACGACTTGCGGGGGGAGTGCTGGCAGCGGTGGTGGTGTTACGAATACCAATGGCATCCATAACAGTGTTGGTGCCAACGGTAGTGCCGGTGCAACGTTGCAGCAACAACCGTCATGCGAAGACATGGCGGGTGGCGAGCGACAATAAGTCACGTGAGGGGAAAGTCTCTTCTTTTTTCTTTTTCTTTTTTTTCTGGGGTTTTGTCGCCCCAAATTACTGCACATAACATGCATTTGTCTGTGCATTTGCTTGGCGGACTTGTCTTTCTTCTGTTGTTTGCTGGTTTACTTCTTTGTTTTGTTTGGCTGTGTGAACGAGCACTCTCATCTTTGCCTCCTCTCTGTCGCTCATGTGTACTCTCTCTTGTGTGTATGGCTTGGAGGGGGGACCGCGTGGATGGCATGTGCCGAGGTGGTGCTTTTGCGCGACTCCTGCAGCGCGGTGAGGGTGTTTTTTGAGGTGCAACGATACAGGAAAAACAGGGCACTTCGGAGTTCTCTTGCCGACTACGTGCTGCGGGCTCTCACAGCAGAAGCAACGTTTCCAATGATGCACGGAACGAGTGACTTTCCTTCCCTGTCGCTTTTCTACGTTGGTGAGGCGACATGCAGCGGCGCTCCCTGCTACGTTGCACTCCCCACCTTTGGCCGCTTCTTTATTGACTATTGCCTGACGTGGGGCCACCACGCGCACTACGGGCAGGCGCGGCGGTACGCAGCATGTTGCAAAATGGCGATTCTACAGACCGTGGGCGGTGGGTGGGCCTCGTTGCGTCGCGCAGACAAGGCCCTGAGGTACGCTATAATGCTCTACGAGACGGCTGCACTCATCCACGACACCGCCACGCTGCGGAAGTGCCGCCTGTTTGTGGGATGGGCACACCTCTGGAACGGCGATGTACGGCAGGCTGTTGAAATCTTTGAGCAGCAGCTGGTGGAGGCGCAGGTGGAAGGCGACGCTGTTCAAGAGCGCCGTTGCATCTCCGCCATCCACCACGCCCGTCACAACCCGTCGGTTGTTGTCGCGTGTGGCGCGAGGGGTCAGGGTAGTTTTTTTCTTTCGGAGTGTTGGGCGGAACTCTTTGAATGAGGCCGGAGGTGAGGAAAATAATCACATATATATATATTGCTTCTTTTTTGTGCGTTTGCGCGTGTGTGACGAGGTATAGCCGCGGTGTAAGCAACAAAAGGGGTTTGCGGTGGTGGTGGCGCTGGTCGGGGCCGTGCCTGCCCATTTTGCGTGGGCGGATGCGTTGAGATTTCTGCTTTCCTTCTCTCCCATCATTTTTTTTTTCCTCGCGCCGGACGGAGTAGAGAGAAATAGAAGAAAAAAACAGCATGGCCAGCTGCAGTGTGACGCCGGAGCAGGAGCTGCAGATCATTCAGACCATTTTGGCGCTCCGCTCTCTCGGCGACACGACGTCAAGTGAGCGGCTGCGCCAAAAAGTGCGTCGCTGTCTGCAGGAGTCAACAGACGACGAAGCGGCCGTGGCGACGGCTGATCAGCTGCTACGCCGTTACAAGAAAATAGTGAAGAAACTTGACGGCTCGTACGAGATGGAGCGGGAACTGAAGAAGCGGCGCAGTGAGATGGAGATGCGGCGGGCGTCGCGGTTTGTCGATGATGAGGCGGAGAGCGGTGACGACGACGAGGACGAGGACGAGGACGATGAGGAGGACAATGAGGGGGAGAAGCCGTGAGGGGCCGCTCAAAGGAGGAGAGGGGATTGCCATGGTGGAGGCACGAAAAGCCGAAGCAGCGAAGATAATACGGCTGGCTGCGACATGACGTGCATTCATGCATCGTGTTTGTTTGTTTGCTTGTGGTGGCATCTGCGTGTGTTTTTTCTGTTGTCGCTTGTCGCGTCTCTTTTTCCGCCTCACTCTCCATGTGTTTTGCCCCCCTTCTCCGCTAGTACCCAAACTTCGGATCACCAATCCACACAAGCTGCCGTTCACATGTCTGTTGTTGCTTCCGGGCGCGTTGCCGCGAATCTCCAGCGCTTGGGCATAAAACTTCCAGCCGCAGCAGCGCCTGCAACAAATTACGTGTCTTACGTCTGCAGTGGCATGCAGCTGCATGTCTCCGGCCAGCTACCAAAGAACGACGTGGGGGGATGCATGACTGGGCAACTGGGTGCCTCACTGACAGTAACGGAGGGGCAAGCGGCGGCTCGGGCCTGTGCGTTGCAGGTTGTGAGCCAAATGCAGGCAGCTCTGGGCGACCTGGACCGTGTGAAACGTGTCGTGAAGCTCAACGTCTTTGTGAATTCCTCACCAAGTTTTACGGAGCAGTCGTACGTTGCCAATGGCGCCTCTGACCTTATTCTAAGTGTGTTCGGGGAGGAGGCTGGTCGACATGCTCGGTGTGCAGTGGGGGTGGCGCAGCTGCCGTTTGGGGCCGCCGTTGAGGTGGATGCGTTGGTGGAATTGAATAATTGAAGTGGTTAGCATGTGATGTGATTCCCACACATATCTATCCATCCATACATGCATGGGTGCATATAATTGTGTGTACGATGATGAAGGCGTGGAAATTTTTATTTTTATTTTTTGGGAGGGGGAACACCAATGTGGCACACACACACACGTGTATCCACGCAATACATATTGTTATTGTTACTACACTATACATGGGGGACATCTGGTTGCAGTGGTTGTTTCTGTGTGTGTGTGTGTGTGTGTGTGTGAAGCAACGAGAGGAATGAGAGAACGTCGTTGTGAAGACGTGTTGGCGAATGTTGTCGCTGGCAGGCGTGTGTTTGTGTTGTCCTGCCGTGCGTGGTGTGCCCGAGTCCACTTCCTCTGGCCGCCACAAAAAACTGTTGCTCTTCCACCATGCACTTTTCTTGGGAAGCAAAGAAGAAGTGTGGGTGCTGGGGGAATTATAGGCAAGAAGGTGGCAGCTACACAATGCGGCGGTGTGGCGGTGCCTCGGTATTTTTTTTTTTAGAAGTTTGTGACATGATGGCAGGTGGAGCCGTGGGCAATGGAGTGTCGTGGCGATCATTTGCACGTGGCCGACCGTACACGCCTTTGGGCACCGTTCAGGACTTCACGGCATCGCCTCATCACATACGTCTTGCTGAGATGCAGCGCGAACTGGATGAAATGAGCGGCCGTTCACCGACGCATCTCTACGAGGGGCCAACTGTCACCACTGTGCAGGGCCCTCGGCCTCTCTTCGAGGCTGACATGCGGGATGATCCCGCAAATGACGACATGCCGGAGCACTTCATTGCCGCACGTCAACGTCTGATGACTTTGAACAGTGACAGTTACGGGGAGTCTATTCGCGGTGTTGTTTCCCCGCCCCCACCGCCGGATGCGAACGCCCCTCGAGCATATGAGCAGCCCCGAGTGCAGCTGGGCAATATTTGGTGGACGGCTATGACATTAATAATAGTATCGTTCTTTCTTATGGCGAGGTTTGGTCGCTAGCGTGAGAAGGGATTCTGCATGGGGCATGCAGCCAAATAAGAGCAGATATGCGTCAGCGTGTTTGCGTGTGCTACTGTGGGGCGGTGGGAGGAGAAAATGAGATGGAGAAAAGAAGAAAAAAAAAAAAAACAGTTCCGAGTCTTCTATTTCCTTTTTTCGTTTTGTTTTGTAAACATGCATACATAAATTGCTTACTCTACTCTTTTTTTTTTTTTTTTGGCGTGTGAGTGGGTGATTGTGTGTGCAGGGCTGAACATAAAGAAAAAGGGAATGTCTGCTGGCATTCGGCGTTTGTTGGCTCCGGCAGTGATGATGAAAATGTTGCGAGGAGGACGATTCCCTTTTGCATCGTACACCACCACCACGCCCACATGCCTTCAACGCAAACTCACAATGAGTAAGCGGCGTCTCCGACCGAAGCCGACACCGAAGCCCGGCCCCTCCATCCCCATCTGCATTCTGCTGGTGCTCATCACACTGTACATGACGTACATTACGCGGAAATCCTCCAACGACGACACGGTGCTGCGCTGAGCGCAATACAAAAAGTAAATTATGTAATTGTTTTTGGCAGAATTGGCTTAGTTGCCTTTTATGGGTTTGAAATGAAAACGCGTTTTTTGTTTTTCTTTGGTTGTTCAGTTAAGCGAACATCCACCGCCAAAATTTATATGGACGCCGACCTTATCACTACCGTCCGGGGCCTTACCCTTTTGTTTGTTTGTTTGTTTCTTGTTGTTGTTGTTGTTGGTATTGTTGTGTCTTGTTTTTATGAACTCATTGAGTTTTGGCGTAGAAGTGCATGAGGCGTTGCGGCCTTTTTGATGCATCGGGAAGGTTTTTTTCCCCGGCGCGCTCGTGGTGTGGATGCGCATCGCAATTTCTTGATTCAACGTTGAAGACAGAAAAGAAATCATCATCTTTATCGTCGGCTTCAGTATCAGCCAGACCTCTACAGGCCGATGCGGTGCAGATGGCAACAGTTATGCCGCGTCAGAGATGGTGGGATATGTTGCACGCAGTCAAGCGGACGCTTACCACCTCCGAGAGAAGCCGTTGGAACCAAATCGACATCATTGACGCAAGGCAATACGCCCGTGCGCACCGTCAACGGTTCCAACGCACGAATGACTTGTTTCATGCTGCTGGAAAAAGAGGAAGAACCCTCTCATATGAAGCGATAACATTGCAGTTCGAGGGAGTTGAGTGGTCATATATGCTGCTACCAACGTTTCTGGCGCTGATGATTATTGTGCTTATTGCTCTGGTGGGCGGTAGATATCGAAAGGCAAAACGACAAGAGGAAATGAAGGCGTTTACACAGCGTGCGGATTTTTTAGCCTCCGTGCGAAAAGAAAGTGTGGGTATGGGGGTAACGGAATTGTACACCACGGAAGAGGGGGAAAGGGATTTCTAAGGACGGGAGCTGCTCCGACGCCATTAGTGCCAGTTATGTTTTTGTTTTTTTCCCCCGTTTAAAATATCTCATATTTCTGCCGTTGTGAGGTTCTCTTTTTGTTTGATTGGATCCCCCCACCCTCTCATTCTTTTTCTGCTTCCGAACTTCTCGTCATGAGGGGGGAAGTACAAATTGTTAACTGCATTGGTTTCTTCTGCATGTCAATGATGTTATCTTTTTTTTTTTTTTTTACGGCTTCTTCGCTTGCATCC